ATACTAAGTTTCATCAGAAATAGTATACACGTTTTCGTTATCAACACATATGCTTTTAATAACTATGAAAGGGAATTACATCTATGTGGTGATAAGAAATTTATCAGTCTGCTATAGATATTACATATGAAATGGTAGAAATTGAGCACAGACTTTTGTAAAATCAATGTGTACTGAAATAGAAGTATCCGGCTAAATTTTTTTTCAATGAACACATTAAGTGGAAGATATTTTACTGTAGGTGATTTTTTAAGAGCACTTAGTGTCAATATTATTTGGTGTTGCTTCACCGAATTTTATTAATCTTGTTAAAATGTGGCCACTGATTGTTTACAGTGCACCATGTCTTGCTACCAAGTAGTTCAACAAAATACATAAGAATACATAACCCTAAGTTTTGGTATAACGGACAATCAAGCTTGTGCATAAATGATGTTTCGCACGTTGTTTGAAACTGCGTCACTTGGAGTCTCGGTCAGTAACGTTACTATTGAGCTACTTAGTAAAGAAACCAGAATGAATGTGATATTATCATAGTTAATTTACGATTTGATTTAATTTTAAGAAAATTTTTCAATAAATGATATTGTATTTCTAGGTATATTATATTTCACCCTACAAACTCGTAATCAACACTTACTATTGATTGTGTCTTCTTTTTTAAAAAGAAAGTACTTCGTAATGACCATTATTCATAATAATAACAAGAATAATAATAATGAATATTGGTAGAGTATTTATTTAGTTTAAGAATGGGACATGTCAATCACTGAGATAAGTATTTGGTGAAGAAATAATTTTCAGAAAACTAAATATATTGTCAGAGTTCTTTTTTAATGAAAATATCTTTGTCAATAATGTATTACTGTGAATGTGAAACGTGAGCTAAAAGTTTTACTGATTTCGTATTTATACAGTTTGTTAAATCTAATTTTCTTGTGAAGTCGATTAAATCAAGTATGTATTGTTTGCAGGTGCAATGTTTTTGTAAATGTGATGCCCAGTTAACTGATTTTAAATGATTTTGCATCTCAACAGGCAGTGCACAATTACCATAAACATCGTAAAGATGAACACGAATAATGATTCACATTGAGTTACTTCCATAGTAGTCGGGGATACATTAGCCGACCGTTGAAACTAACAAGTTTTATTGCTATGATCTAGTTTTATCATCTCAAATTCGACGTAATTCTGTCTAAATACAATAATAATATTAAGGTCTTACTATTGCAACAGTAATACTTATCAGTTATAGAATTATACAATACAATATATGATGTTTCATGTTAACAACTGGTAAAGTCTCACCAGACATTAATGTCACCGAATTGAGAACTTATTTTTAAGTTCATGTTACTTGTCGTAAGTCACTTTTGTTTTCTGTTCAATGGACCATTATTACCGATTAATTTACCTGATTGCAAACACAGCTTATTTGAGAAAAACAAATATCTATTACAAATAAAATAAAATAACTACTTAAGAAAGCGGTTCGATAGACATTTTGTGAATGTATACCATTTCAGTTTGTTTTTTTCTGAATGTTCCGTTATTTCTGCAGATAAAATAAATCAATAAATTTGAAAATGTATCTTCGTCTATTGGGACGAAACGGAACAGTAATAGCGAATAAACAAATTTTTTTTGATGCAATAATTTATACTTACATTTATTCAGCTAAATTAATGACAATATATAATAATGTCATATAAAAATCATGAGCTAAATATTGTTTTTTCTTATAGTTTTGAAAAGTATCTCAAAGTCATGCGAGCTTCCTCACTTGATAGGAAACTGTTTACTTCAGAAGGAGAAAAATTCACTGTGCAAAGTTGTTGTGAAGTAAGAAAATTGAAATCAAGTTTTCATTAAATTTACCCGTACGTTTAACACAATCTCGATTGATTCATTTTAATTATAAACATAGGCATGAACACCGTGTATTATGTCAAGCACCTTCTCTTCATGCATTCATCGGGTTTATATGATTAGGGATCAATTCATTCAGGTAATAACAGTCAGACAGTTAAACCAAATGTAAAATTTATGGAAACTAATATCTGTTCATGTGAAATTATTGAGGAAAAAAATATGTTCTAACTAACAAAATTTGCAAAGAACTGGAAAAGGAAGCCCAGGACTGAGTTGGTTGTAGAAAACTGATCGGCGGCCCAAGCTCTATTGGGGGTAACAGGCGTAAGTAAGTAAGTAAGTTAAGCTAATCTGTGATTCTCCAATTCACACGAACATGGAAAGTATGATAATTATACTTCATATATATGTAAACAATGTAATATGTTCTCTTAGTTAATGCTCCTAATACAAGTTTAATGTCTGTGGGCGTAAATAATTCGAAATCAGTCCAGTTATTTGATAAAACACTAAAGATGAAACACTGTTTGACTTAAAATTGACTTCTTTTGTTAAAGTTCACTTCCATTTATCTTCTTACAGAAACAAGATTTAATCTGACAGACTTTTATTTTAATATTCAAGAAAAAATACAATTGAAACATGAATCTAATCAGACAATAAATAGCAGTGTTACTAATAGAATCTTTGACAAATAACACATTCACTATTTATTTCTAGACATTTTAGAAACAACCGCTTGTAATATATGAAAATGTCACAATCGTACATTTATTTTTTGAAGGGAAAAAAAAATCCTAATCTTCATTTACATTATTTGAGATAAAATCTAATGGCTATAAATATGTTTGACGTTTGATATTAAGATAAATAACTTACTATTTTTTTAATTTATTTATCAATAAATCAAAGTCGTTTCATATTTAGTTTTCTTTACAGGCTAAAAGTTAGAAACATTCAGCTACTTTGGATTGCATTGCATTTTTGCACGATTAGAGCATTTTACCTGATTTAAAGATAATGGAAAATGTTTTATTAACAATAGGAATTTAAATGAGTAGTTATTTTGAATCAGCTTCAAAGAACAATTTACTCACAAAGAATCGAACAACGGAACTGGAGAATAAGGAACCGATTGCTTTAGGTGCCAATAAAACAAAGTATTGATTTCATCTTCCAATTATTCAAAAAATGTATTAATAATTCAATGAACAGACTCATTAATCATATCTGTTGATGATAGGCTTTTAATTTCACAATAATGTGAACACAAGTGTTCATTAACAGTTGTCTTCACAAAATACTTCGGATCCGTTGGCCAGACACGATCAGAAACAACCTACTCTGGGAGAGAACAAAGATATCAGAATAAGTCCATGGAGGTGGATAGGATACACAGTGCATAAATCACCCAATCCCTCACAAGACAAGCCTTCACTCGACGCCAAAGAAAGGAGGAACACAAAAAACACATGAACACAGACATGAGAAGAATGAATAATAATTTGACAGAACTAGAAAGGAAGGTCCAGGACAAAGTTAGTTGCAGAATGCTGGTCAGATGTTAGACTTCAGAAACATTTCAATTTAATGACACACCAAAAACAATAAAATTTTATTTCATTACTATCAGGTATTGAACAAGTTCACTTTTAAGATCCGGTATGTTCATTAAAATCACCCATGTTAAAAGAGAAAAAACTTGATCACATCTAAGAAATTACTAATGATGTAATTAATTGAGTATAAAAATTTCAACATTTTAATTAGATTTTTATGACATGTCTACCAGAATAAACTATATGTACAAGTATGTATAAATTGAAAATTTATTCAACTCTGATCGACAGTATTATTGAATCATAAATATATATATATATATGGATCCCATATAAGAGATTAAAATTTTATCCATATGTCAAGTAATAAAATAAAACATGTAAGTGTTAAGTGAATGATATGAATTTTGTTAGATAAATCAACTGATAATGAATTCACTAGAAACACAAACTAACGTTGTTGTTCGATGATTTGAAAGCACTATCTTAAAGTATATTTCTTATATCAGGTTGCTGACGAACAATCAGATGTTAGATCCAGATCAGCGGAAAACTAAATTTTTGCATTTACAAAGCTTAGTAAAATCACTACTTCTAACAACAAATAGAGTTTTTTTTCTACATTATTAGAACGGAAGGAATGGAACAAATCCACTAGTTAGTATATTGTGAATTTTGATTACCTTATTTAGTGGCCAGTTTTTACGAAGCATTATATGTGCGTTGAATTTGATTTCCACATTTCATTCTTAGGTGAACCCTGTTTGTGTGATGGTTGTAACTGAAAGTCAAATATAATTTATTTTGAAAGAAGAAATTTTATGCGTCCAAAAAACAAATAGACATAAGAAAAGGAAGCGTAAAGTGAACTGTGTTGATACATAGTTTCAAGGATATTCTTATAGGAATAAAATATTTATATCAAGAAATATTCGTCTACTAAAAAACTCAAAGTTTGAGATTAACATATTATTTACTAAATAATTCCGTAAACGTTACGGTATACTTTACAACCAAACAGTTCTGACCCCATTTATTTTAATTTAGAGACAATAATTCTAAATGAAAATCAGTTGAGATGTTTTCTACTAGAACTTGGAAGACTAATTACAATTTTGAAAAAAAGTGAGATAGTTTTATTTTATTCAATCCAAATCTTGTGAAAACAAGACTATCCAAGTCAAATTGTGCCATTAATGTCGAATTCAAATGGTAAATAAAAATTAACCTGTTGCTCATGCTCTTCACAACAAACCAATAACTATTACACTATTCATCTGTGTTGATATTAATTTGTAAAATTAATGACAATATTCAGGTAATCTGCACAAAACGTCCTCCTATGCTGAAAACAAAGACTGATCAACCACAATGGTGCATATCAGTAAGGCGATTCAAACAATCGGTAAAAGTGAATAACATATATTCTCCGAAGAATTTTTAATTAACCAGTCAAAAAATCCGATTAAATGCAACCAATCAAAGTTATTCTAGAATTCTTTAATATTGTTCAACCTAATAGTATTCCCAAAAATCTGTAAAAAAAAAACTACTAACTTGTAGAATGAGAAATTGAAAATATTACTTTCAGAAAACGTTTTCCTTGATTTATGCTGTAGATATTTCACGTATATTTTGAAAACAATGAATTTAACAGATGCGACAAATTCAAGTCAATCATTGGAATTGTCTAACGTAATCACTGTGTTAGATAGCACACAAGATTCACGTGTAGAAAATGTATTCAATGTAACATCATGCATTATTATCACATTTATGTTTGCTTTGATTGTGATATTTTCAATAGTTGGAAATATATTAGTTATGTGGATTATATTAAATAATCGTAGAATGCGTACTGTGACTAATTGTTTTTTATTTAATCTATCCGCAGCTGATTTATTGACTGTATTTCAAATTATTCCAAATGTTTATTATGTATTACAAAATGATTGGATATTTGGTATTGCTTATTGTAAATTTTCACAATTTTTTACATCATTCAATATAGCTATTAGTGTATTCACATTTATTGCCATTTCATCTGATAGGTAAGTTTTAAGATGAAATTGTTGATATTTTTTTCGTCGTTGTTGAAATCATAAATTGATCTGCTTTCGACAAATATTAGAAACTTGAATGCACTGGACAGGTTGCTCATCCTAGCATATAAGCCTTCGCAATTGCATACCAATGACACAATAAACAGGAATGGAATTGAGGATCATTAATCTCACACTCAAACACTTAGCTTCTGAACACACGTAAGGAACGACCCAGTGGTGTGCAGGTGTAACCTTTTTATCGGCCGACGATAGTTTAGAGTCTACATTGTGTTAGCTTTTAAAATGAAATTTTTTATCACAAATAAAGCTTTTAGACATTTTAAGCAGTAGTAAAAAATAATTTGATGTTTCTTTATTAGTTTATAGCATATGACGGATATATATATATATATATATATATATATATATTCATTTATAGGATTATAGATTACTTTGTAGTCAGTAACAAAAATTAATCCTCAGCATATATAATGACTAAAAATTACGAAATCACTGAGTACTCCATGGTGCCTTTAGACGGTAAGCATTCAGTACCATAATTCTGACGGTCTACTTTCCAAAATGACAATATGCAACCATATAATTTTTTTTCTTTACCGTCAAGTAACAATGAAACATACAAACTCCAAGTGTTATATTGTAAATATTTCTCTTCCTAATTTAAATTGGGACAAGTTTTTTTTAAAATAAGAGTTAAAAGGAATAGTGATAATGAAATATTGAATCAGTTTAGGAAAAAATTATCCTCAGCTTTCGGGTACATCTTTCTTTAAGCAGTTTGCTTTGAGTGTTTTGTAAATAAAGTGCATAAGAAATATCTTATTCATAGCTTCCCATCTAATATTTTTATTTACTGAAACTAGAGCAAATAGTTTTAGTTTTTAAGTGTTTTCATGAATTAACGACTAAAATCGATCACTCTCTTTTGGTGTACATGAATCATGACCTAATTTTTTCAATGTGAGATAAGATAAGGTATTTAATGCGAAAGATACTTGGTTCGAGTGACTATGTAGACACAAACACTGGGATCCAGATTCATATATCTCGTGAGTCTACCGAAGAAACAAATGCTCTACCTGAACTCTATTACTAGATACTATCCAACTAGAACCAAGCCTAGAGATATAATTATTTTCAATGCATTGAAACCGACACTTGTATGAAGGTTATTTTGAATTCAGATTGAGTTCACAAAGTAGACAATTAAGTCATTCTCTAATTGGTTTTTAACTGACTTAGTTATTTTTAATTTCTCGAAAGCAAACCAAATTAAAACGTAACAAATCAGTACAACTCAAACTTTTAATAGCTTTCGGATTTTCCTTGAAAGGTAGACCATGACGTGTGGATGCTGATGAGTTTGGATGTGTAAAATGTTGTTTTATCATAACTAATTAAAGTCTTCGTTTCAATATAAAACTATTTGAGTCACCTAGGAACAGTAGGTAATATAGATTCATGCTTTAGGCACCAGAAATGTTATAGGTTTCATCACGTTGCTACCTTTCCAATGGTTTATAAACTTGAATAGGTTACCATTAATCATCATTGCTTCAGTTAAGAGTTTCACATCGATAGTGCAAATACTGTTTATCCCATTGAATAAGCTTTTTAATAATCTACGTTTGTACTGGATTAGATAGTGGCTATGAAAATTAAAATATTGCCCTAGTCACATTAGCTTTCTGTTTACAGAACGTTAAGTGAAACCATCGTCTCTTTCATTCAGTAATGTCTAAAAAATGATGTAACTAGTTATATATTTCTTCTTCGCATGTTAGACAAATGTATATATGAATTAGATTGAATTCTCTTAACAAGAGAATCACATTTTCACCTCCATTGTTCATTACAATGATGTCATGCACACATGGTTAATAAAAACACATCTATTTAATTAGGTTTTCAACATGATTCTCGAAACACGCCATATAGATATTAGTTGGCAATAAGACTTAGGAGCCGAATTTATAACTACGTCATTAGTCTGTCGAAAATGCTCTCTCTCAAAAGTAAATTTAACTTTGTCAGTATACGATAATCTTAAAGCTTTAAGGGTTTTTTTCACTGAGAAAAGCTATAAAAAGCTGTTTATTTAAGATATAGTCACACAAAATATTAATAGTTTTATATTATGAAATGATGTGTTTACGTCAAAGAAGCAAATTGTCTTAGTCGTTATATTAATATTCTCTAACTAATAAATTGATTTAAAGGGGTTTTTAAAATCGGTTTTAAATAGGATTCAATATTTTAGCCAACCATTTTGTACGATTATTTGTATGTGACTGACGCTAAAAAAGTTAGGTGTAAAAGGGTATTGTAACAACAAAAGGCCAAGAAATTAAACAAACAGATGTATCAAAGCAACGTGCCAAGATAGAGATAACTGTCAATCATGATATGAAAGATTTATCTTATTTAATAATAACTTAAATAACATAAGATACCTTAACCATAGGACCTAAAAGTATCATGACTGTTATCAGACTAAGTCGTCATCTTTTTTTACCTCGAATTATACAATACTTATATCATTATTATTATTACTATTATTATTATTATTATTAACGCGAACGTTGCTTAGCAAAACTGCCAATAACATTTGGAAGCACCGGATAGCCATTTCACCCTAGTATGGAACTTCTTAGTAGTGTGCGTCCATTTGATTGTTATTTATATAAGGGATTTGTGATGGTCATTATCATTTTCACTATTGAAACAACTTCTAGGGAGTGTACCATACTAGAACCAAACGGATATGCAGTGCTTCTAGGTTCTTATTGGTGTTTTATTTTCATTTCATCTATGAAAACAATTCAGATATGTTGAAAATTATTTTATCTATTGAAGATATTTTGACAAAACAGAAAAAAATTTTTAAATCTATAAATACACATAATTCAGTCTGATAAAAATATCTGATTAAAGAAACACAAATAAATTGTTTTTGAAACAGGAACAACCCTATTCATTGATTCCAAAATTTTTAAAATAATGTACAATTAAATATTGTACACTGTAAAACACTTTATTAATAGTATAAATATATTCAATGTCCTATGAAGTAATCACACGATTTTATTTCGAAATTATCTCATTGTTGACCAATTTACAATGACTGACTACTACAGCTGACGATATTGTTACATCATATACAGGCATTTCAGATATTTTACTATAATTCATTATATTCTGATGAAATTGCTTTTTAAGTTGGTACATAAAAAAAATAAAACACGTTTACCGAAATCTTAATTCACTAGAAAATCTGTTTCAGAATTGAATATTTTTATCTGTATTTTACAAAAGACCATTTTGTTTTGTCAAAATCATTTTACGACTACATTTTCATAAAAGCTGACAAATCTTATGCATTGATTGTAGAGTTAAAATAACCGGCAAAACACTGACAACATTTTTATACAATTTGTACGTAAATAACAAAAAAAAACCTATTTATGATGAAAATCTACATTCGGAAGAACTAGACTATATTTTCAAATTGGTAAAATAAATTTTTTTATTTTATTAGTAAACTTTTTTGAAGTAATACTCCAACTACTAAATTCATACAGAATATCTCATTCAAACTGTGACGTTTTACGTAACAAACAATATTTGACAACTTACCTGAACTATGGAATGTTTAATTGAATCGCACAATCAAGCAGTTAAGGATCCTTTTAAATGCTTTTCTGCAATTATAAAACTCTAGGTAGCATTGCTACTACCATCTATGTTATGATAAATATTTTGATTTTGTATGAAATGAATGTAGATTATTTTTCCCATATCTATAGTCTAGGAACAACATTTTATACAAAAATAATATGCTATAAACAATTACACTATTTAGTTTACACACAATGTTGCCTGAAATTTCGATTGCTTTATTTTTGTGATATTGTCGCTGTTAAATCAACTGAAACAAACTGAAATTTAAAATTAGTCGTTTTTAAATTGTACCCGATTGATAATCCAATTTACAATTCAACATTTTTATTGATATCTTTTTTTTGATAGAACAGTGAGAAGACTTAATTGATCTGAAAAATGTGATGTATTTGACCTATACATTTCGAACAATCTGGTCACACATATTTACTTGTCAAGGCATTTTATATGAAGATTAATAAAATGTCAATTGAATAAAAGTTCAAATAGACATATAAAATGCCTTAACAAGTAAATATGTATGACCAGATTGTTCGAAATGTATAGCGCAAATATATCACATTTTCAGCCCAATTACGCCTTCTCACTGTTCTATCAAAATTTATGAAAGGGACTAATTGTTTTGATATCTTTTTATCTGATTTACGGTATCTCATTAAATGCTCATAACACATAAGTATAAACCGCAATTTCAGCTTGAAGTGTATTAGTTCTTCATAAATTGAAAATATTTACTTTCATTAAGAAGCTGAATTGTTAGAATGTGATTTTATAACTACAAATCACAAATTCACAAGTTTTAAACTTGATTACAATATTTAAGAAGGAAATATACATATATATTAACCTTTTATAAAAGTTCATTTGTACCGTAAGTTGTATAAAATATCCTTTTATTGAGAAATACAATCAACCGTTTTCAATGCAAACATATGCATATCAACCGTTGATGGTACACTTCCTACCTTAGTCTTCGATAACCAACTGTTGGGAAGATTAACTTAAAAAATAACGCAGCTTATATTTTGTTTCACAGGCACAGCTGTTATACAATTTTCATTGAAATTTTGAAGAGACATATTGGACATACAATAAAATCTAGAGCCAGGTTAAATGTGTCTACGCCTTTGATTAATAATTTCCGAAAAAAAGTGGTAAAGTACGCTTTTATTTTTTCATCTTATGAAATAGTGTATTCGCTAATACTTTACATCCATCTGTATGCTAAAATTTCACAGTAAAATGATTAAACTTTTTCCTATTATTTCATAAGATTTATTACAATCATTATTTACTATTATCTACCGACAAAAATGCTTCGACTATCTTTTCATTCATTAAATCTAACGTGCTTGAACTTCCGTAAACATTATCTTTTATCTTATTAAAAGACAGATTAAAAGGGAACTTCACAAAGAACTTAGCTATTTCAAATTGAGTGTTTCAATATATCTTCTTTTCGACAATTTATGACCTTGATGTAAACGTGCATGAATAGACAAGTTTAATATTTTGTAATTATTCAGTTCAAACAGATAGAAAACAAGACATCTAGACGCAGACTACCATTAATGAGATTGATGTCATACTATTCTTTCACAGGATATTACATTACTAGAAGGAAGTGTTATGCTTACAGGTGACAATTGTTATATTAGACGTTTTTAATAATACCGCCAACTGGCGACGTGTGTATTATTACGTTGAATTTTGTCTGTATAAAAATTGAATATATAATAGGAAATAAGTGAGACAAATAAGACAAATTATACACTGTTAGATAGAATTGAATAAAATAATTAGCAGTCGAGCAGACAACAAACTTTTGCTTAAATAATTATACTTCTGCTATACCTCTATTAATAGTTATTCAGATAAAAATCTTTCTATAGACAGTAAAGAATTTATTCTACCTTTTAAATAGATTGTCTATTTTTGGTAACTTAATGAGTTCGAAAAAAAATTCAGTACAACAACCAACAGAACTTGATCATATCAAAGAGTGAATTGATTATCAGTTCAATTTTCAGCATGATTAATCGCCTTTTCAACTAACTAGATTTGGACTTAAATTCAAATTTATAAATAGAATGAATGATTGATTAATGGTATTTATTATTCACAAACTATTAATTCACCGCTCATCAAATTAAAGTCACTTATTCGAAAATATTACGTATTTAGCACTCAATAGGATTTAATAATAATAATAATAATAATAATAATAATAATAATAATACCATTGATTTGTCCCAATGCTTATATACTTTAAATGAAGTAGTTTAATATTTTCTTTTCGTCATTGAAAAGAATACACACAAATTGGATTAACTTACTGAGGAAATGTTATTTCTGGATATGACAAAAACTAAAATCGATATTGTTGGATGTATTGTAATTATTTGGTCGAATGATTTAATTGAATATAACAATAAAAAAAATGTATTATTGAGTTGAATGAACAATGTTTATTTCTGTGTTTTCTTATTTCGTGAGCCTAATGAAAGAATTTTTTTTCGTAAATTAATTATGTTACGTGTTGTCTGAGTAGTGAAAATAAGTGTTTTTTTTTAAATTTTCATTCATTTAAGTGAAACTATGTGGATGAGATATAAAAGCAATAGTATATTTCAGTTCGCGCCCAAGACCGAAAGTCATGAGTTTGAATTCTGTGAGGTGGAGGAGTTGTGAATGCGCACTGCTGATGAGTCCTATGCTAGGATGAAACGGTAGTCTAGTGCTTAGAGGTTTCTAATGATGGTCTAACATTGATCAGTTCATGATTTCATAAAGTAACTGAACAATCTTCACAACCACGTAATACGAATTATATTTTAGTGTGGTATGCTTGCTTTTTCGCCAACAATACTTTCATGTCTAATTCAATTTACTGTTATTGGTTAAGAATGATTTTATTTCAGTCGGAGATATATACAGGTCAGTAGTATTCTGTGTATAAATTTAATAAATACCTTGTAGAGTATGATATGGAGCATAAGTTTTTGAAGCAATATTGCTTATAACTCCCCATTTTTAATATCTACTAATTTACTATCGAAAATTGATGAGTAAATGAGTAAGTAAATTTATTGTGATCTGATTTGCATCGTACAAATCCCAAGCTTTATCTGTTTTAGTCACCACCAGTTCTGTACACTTACAGTGTGGATTTTATAAATTTAAATACGATTATCTAATAGCAACGGGTTTATCTACATATTCAAACGAATTATATTTGCTGACAAATTTCAAATAGTTTTGTTTTCATTTAATTTAGTGGCTACGTTCGAGAAAGCTTATCAAATAGAATAAAATGCACTTCTATATTTAAACTTGCCTATTTTGTATTTTTCTTTCATGTTCAACATCATTTTCTCGAATATGAAAAAATACCTTATTTCAATTTCCGGTATTGTATGTTATAATTAAGTAACATTGAAAACAATTCAACTGTGAATAGAGACTGTGAGATTTAGACATCACTAAATAAATGCAATACTAACATTCACTTTGTGAATGAATGATTGCCTTTTTTAGAACATTTCGTGTATGTGTATTATGATTTCGATACAAAAAACATTCGACTTATTAAAACAAATAAAGCACTAAATGGAATCTATTCATGTAATAATTTTCTCTAGCAGTTTTGTAGAGACTTTTATTCTGACTGAAATTTTTTTCATCATTCGGTTATTGTATTACGAGGTTATGAAGACTGTTAAGTGGTCCAGAGATTAGGCGTTCGCGCACAAGACCGAAGGTCATGAGTTTGAATCCAGCGGGGTGGAGGAGTTGTAGATGCTCATTGTTGATGAGTCCCATGCCTGGACGAAACGGCCGTCATGTGCTTACAGGTTTCTAACGGTGGTCTAACACTGATCGATCCATTCGGTTATTATCGTTGGAGAAATACGTTATCTTAAATTGATCAAATGCTGAAATGTACATAGTACCCTATATGACAAACGTACTTTTCATCATAAACTACACGGTTCGCTACTTAGACATTTTAACCTACTGATCAAGCGTGATATTAAGATAGTGGCTTTAAGTGATACTCAAGAAAAGCTTCCTGTTGACAAATAGTTGATTAACGTAACATTTGAGTAATTTTATTTCTAGTTTTAAGCTGTTTGTTTACATTTCTAACAAAAATAAGGTTTCAGATAAATTAAGCTAGATGAACATTATTTGCAGAATAAAATGAATTCATCATATTAGAGAGCTTCCGACCAACTACAAACGAACTAAATTTACACTAGTAATATTATCAAAACGTTTTATATTATACTATAACCAGTGACGGTCAATTGGAACTAACATAAGATTCTAATAGAAGCAATAACATTTATAGCATCATAGTTAAGACTGATTAGTATTTATGTCAAAAATGAAGACATAAAAGGAGAAATAGGTGAAACTGTAAACGATCACGATACAACAATTAAGATTGATAGATTGATAAATTAAGTAAATGTGAATAATTACTGGTCAGTAAAAGAAGAACTTTCGTTTACCATGTACTGTCATAGTAGTTGAATTAAACCAACTGTAAGATACGTTAAGATTTCTAACTAGAACAAAATAACTCCCTAATGCTATGGGTTGAAATTTTTTGAATGAATTCACATCTAAATAAATTCGAATACATCATGAACGTCTATAAACAGCATTTATACAGCAGTGGAATGAGAATTTTGTGTAGATTGTATAAACCATGAACTCATTCTAGCTAGATAATTTATTTTTGACACATCAGTGAGAAGCCATTTTGTTCCCGTATGATTCTCGCTAGTACCCATCCATGAAAATATTAACAATCAAATTTGATCTGGTGGCAAGTGCTTTATTTTTCCAACAAGTTAACAAATAAATGCTCACACCTCCAACTCATCTGTATTACAGAAGGTGTTTAGTTATCATCTAACAATGATACGTATTTAGTGCAAATACATTGAACGGTTTTGTTTCAGTATAAAATATTTTCAGTAACACGCCGCTGACACTTAATAATTAAATCAGAGAATCAAGTATTTTATGGAATATTTGCTAGAAGATTACAAATTATGTAAGATTATTTACTTACAATTATATTTTAGTGGTGTATTATCTTAAAAAAAAAAGCATCTCGTTTCATAATTTAACTTTGATTCAACAATTTTCCGATAAATAGTTATCATTATTACTTCATTTTATTGTCAGTCAGCAAGTATATTGCGTTTATTATTTAGCTGTAGACAATAAGCATCCGTAATGTAGACCATGAAAATGTTACACTTTTTACAAATCGCCTATGAATAAAATATATTTTTTTTACTCATTTGGCAGTACTTGTTATTTTTCACATCGTTTGTTCATTTATCCTATAACTTATCCTATAATTTAAGTTGTCAACTTGATATGTATTTTATCACTTTAGATATACTGCAATCATGTTTCCACTTCGTCCACGTTCAAAACTAACAACAGTTATTTGTGCAATTGCAGCTATTTGGTTAATTTCGTTTGCGATCGGATTGCCTGGTCTAATTGTAGCTACAGTTTTTCCGAAAAATTTGTCAAATTTACAAAATAAAGCAAATATTACAGATCCGATTGCTGTGCTGAAACAGATCACAGCCAATTCACCTGGTCAATACATTTCAAATGACTGTATTCTAAACTGGTCATCAGAATGGTCTGAAGCGTAAGTCATTAGTAATTTTAGAAAATGGATTACGTGTTTGATATTAATTTTAAATAAGTAAGTACTCATAACCATCTGTTGTTTGCCTAAACAGGGTATGTGACTGTAATATTTAAAGTGATATTTTTATATCCAATCACTAAAGCCCAGCAGGTGATAAAATAAGCAAAAGTAGTAGTAAGAAGTGTCTATACCTTATTTTCACATGAACAAAAGCAAAATAACAACATAATACGACACTTTCTGTCAATAATAAACATATGTAAGCAAGACGCTTCGTGAAATTACCTGAAACTACAGATAATGTTTAAATAATTGTTCTGTAGGTATTCAATCATGTGACCAACAGATTTCTATCCTACTTATTCTGGTGAAATCATCATTCTACAAATCAGTGCTTCCTATATAACACTCACATATGGTCACGAATTAATTGTTTCCGATCTGTGATAAAAGCCGTATAAAACCTGTGTAAATCATCTAAAGATCATTTATAGTCGTTGTAAGGTGGGCAAATTTTTTTCGTGTCTAAACAACTTAGATGTGTTTCCGTTCGGAAATTCTTTTAACCCATATATTGAAACCAAAGATTTTACTTTTTCATAAAATACTAGAATGTTCAGTCAACCACGGGTCTTTTGTTTAAATAGCATATATATATAAATATATATATATATATATATATATATATATATATATATATATATATATATACATATATATATATGCAGTGAACAGTAGCATATTCAGGATATGACCCAGAAAGATAATTATATTGATACATGAATTTCAGGAAAATGAAACACTGGTTTTAAAGCTTATATTTATGCAAATGAATGAAAAATCAAGTATTATTATTATGCCTTATATGACCACTGATAAAGTTTATCATAGTTTACGTAATGTTGATTCTAAATCAACTGTTTTATCTAATAAATAAATCAGTTTTGATGAGACGTTAAAATAAATTTTTGAAAAAAGGCCTACTTACAAATATGTGTTTAACATGCTTGCATTTCCATGTACTATCCAGCTTCGAAAAGCTATCTGTTATGATAATAACCTTCATTCACCCTTTAAAACCCAAACAGTATACAGTGGTGATTTTATAACTATTTTTAAAGAGTGACGCACATATCTTGCTGTTGTCTTCATCCCTAGTATATATATATATATATATATATATATATATGTCATTTCTCAAAATAAAGTGGTATTACCTTACTGTGTTAATCTAACTCATTGGCATTAAAAGTTCGACATTCCATTTTTTAATTATATGATTATTTTTTCGTTAATTTTATGGCATATTCAATGTGCATTATCTGAAAGTTTGTTTTAATATTTAATTATGAGCAACTTAAGCAAAAAATTCTTGAAAATAACACTTTCTTGTTTGATAAATTTATCTTACAGATACGATTATACACTATTTGTATTAATGTATGTTCTGCCTCTTATTATACTTGCCACCACTTATATTCCAATATCAATTCATTTATGGTTTCATAGAGGACTTGGTGAAGTCACTAGGGCACAAGCACAAAATGTCCAATCTAAAAGACGAGTAAGTCATTCAATCATATTTATAGTTATTCTTTTTATTAATATCTAAGTGATGTTGACTGGAATGAAACATTCTTGAAAATCTCGATATAATTTATGCTTGATGCAGTACAAGGTTTAACTCAAACCTAGAAAAACATCAAAACAAGTAAAATTATTTAGAAGTAATATAAAGTATACTGTTTTCAAGTAACGCATTCAAACATAGTTATCAATCAATAATTTTGTAGCCTCATTAATAGGCATGCAGTTGAGTATATCACTTTAAGGAACTCTTGGATCAGCCAGCCCCAATGAACCCACCCAATATTAAAGCAGCATCTACGAACCTCCCAATTGATGTTGGCCCACCAACAATTGAAGAGATCAGTATGGCCATCAGACAAACCAAGAGCAGCAAAGCAACACAACCGGACAACATTCCAGCTGAGTCACTGAATGCAAACACAACACTAACAACAAAGATACTCCACATTCTCTTCAGCAAGATTTGGGAGAAAGAAAAAGTCCAACAGACTGAAAACAGAGATACCTTATCGAAATAACAAAGAAAGGTGATCTCAGTCAGTGTGAGAAGTACACAGGCATCACTCTTCTCTCAATACGAGGTAAAGTCTTCAACAGGGTATTCCTAAACAGAATGAAGGACTTCGTAGACGTCCAACTTCGAGATCGAAAGGCTGGATTCCGAAAGGATCAGTTATATGCCGACTAAATTGCAACATTATGCATCATTGTGGAACAATCAATTGAATGGAACTCATCACTGTACATCACCTTCATTGACTAATACAAAAGTATTCGATAACGTGAACTGGACAACACTATGGAGGCTTCATCGACTCAAAACTCAAAACAATTATCAACCGACACTAAAATTAGAATTTTCAGCACGAATGTCAAGGCAGTCCTACTGGGTGGGGAGGAGAGTGGAAAAATTTAAAAGCCATCATCCAGAAGAAACAAGTATTGATTAGCAGTTGTCTACGCAAAATACTTCGTATTCGTTGACCAGACACTGTCAGCAGCAACGTGCTGTGGGAGAGAACAAACCAAATTCCAGTGCGGGAAGAAATAAGGACGAAGCACTGGAAGTGGATATGACACACAGTGAGGAAAGCACTGAATTGAGTCGCAAGACAAGCCCTTACATGGAACCCTCAATGCAAAAGGAAAATAGGAAGGCCAAGGGACACATCACGCCGAGAAATAGAGAAAGATATGAGAAGAATGAACAAAAATTGGACAGAACTAGAGAGGAAAGCCGAGCATAGAGTAGGTTGGAGAATATTAATCGGCGGCCAATGCTCCATCGGGGGTAACAGGCGAAAGTGAGTAAGTTATACGCATTAGATAGCTTTTATCATCGTTTGTTTATTGATATATATATATATATATATATATATATATATATATATATATATATATATCTTATACAGTGAAGAATTAAACATAAATAATTATGAATAGAGTTAGCTTTTCGCCTTCGACAGTCTGTGATCAAACTATTATTATCATTGTCACCTAATAATAAACGAGTAAATGAATCATTTATAGATACAATGTTGATTTCAACTCCAATGCAACTACAAGAAATCATTATGTATTAAACAAACACAGAAAATAAGTTTGCTAACTATTTCTCATAGAAAATAATTGAATTAAGATTATGTAATTATGCTTCGAAATAGTGTGATCAATATATTAAAAGATTTTTGTAAGCAGAATATCTCAGCTAGATAGATAGATATACACGGCATTAAAATGACAGAAAATATATATTCTGTTGGTGTCTGATAATATAGAAATGCTTATAAAATATTATAGAACACGACATCAAAAACAACCACGAACCGAACTCACAATATTTCCACTTTTGCGTGATGTCTTTCTTGTAGGTGTTTACGAAAAAACAACTGAGAGTATATTTATCACTGTAATAATTACTCATTTTATCAAAACATAAAAATGTTTTTTCAATTTTTTATCTTTTTTTTTAAAAAAAGTAATTAGAATACCTGATGATGTGTCTTCATGTACATATGTATAGGTAGGTATTCTCAAAACTCTTAATTAAAGAAATCACGAAGCTATACATTTTATTGATCAATAATAATACATGTTTATCGACTACTCACTAATACTATCGAAAAAATTTCTAGACACCATCTTTCAGACACATCATAATTTAAATCTGAAAAAAAACAACCAATAAATCCAATTTATTTGCTTGTCAACTACCGCTGTTTATTTTTTGTTTTATTTTCTAATTCCTTTATGTCAATTTATTTTTTTTGGTTTCAGTAAACAAAAATAAACTTTCATTGTTTCATTAAATTCCCCTTTGTTTTTCTTTCTGTTTCACTTTTTAATTAAAAGGCAGTGAAAATGCTATGTGCAGTTATGTTGATATTTGCAATCTGTTGGCTTCCATATCAATTATTTTTCATTATATTACAATTAAGTCCAACTGTAAAAAGTAGTCCAAGTTTACCGATTGTATTTATTTGTTGTTATTGGTTAGCAATGAGTAATTCAATGTACAATCCAATTATTTATGTTTTAATGAATAAAAAGTAAGTTATTGTTGGATTGTTTGTATATGATAAATATTATTTGCTTGAGAAAATTATCCAGAGTTTTTACCTTGATCACTGAATGAATCAGTTACTTGTATTACAACATAACTTTACGATTATGCAAACTTAACACTTGTTTTTATCGATTACAAAGTTATCTGATCTTTGATGCTAATCGATTAATGTTCCTCAGGCTGCAGCATTGGGAATACTAGTAAATTTTCGCAATGATATTGTTATATTAGTCATTAGAGGAAAGTTTAAGGAGGTTCCACATTTAAGTTGTTCTTGAATCATAAGTTAAGTTATTTTAATGGACCATTCACAGTTATGGATATTAGCTCTATCAACACAGGTTACTAAACTGAACGACAATAATCACAACGAAATTATCACACAGTACAAAAATCTAAACTTCACTGAATGTAAATACGCTATGCTACCTAATACCATCTAGCCTAAAAGAATGATTTATGGTTACCCACGGATTGATTTAAGTATTCAGTATGCTACGTATTCTCTACTAACAATTACTATATATATATGTGTACGATTGAAACAATCGTTTTATGGAGTCAGCGTTAGTTATGAAGAGTAGTTTAGAGTAGTCCATAAAGGCACAAAGCAATATTTTGAATAGAATACATTTTTTTTTAATATTCACTGAAATATGAAATTTTCAAATCAATCGATGCTAAACTTTAGTTTAAATATTACTAATGTAAATAGATCTTATTAGTTGAAGTATTCATCTTTCACCCATAATATCTTAAAGTCACATACGTCACTTTAGGCCTATAAATTATATCACTATCGCCCACACAAGAACAGCAAGAACCGAGGTCGACTACTTGCCGCAGTCACACTGTTGGTACGCTAAGGTTGTTTAAAAGCACCCAAAAATGGTTGTTATAATGAAACGAAGTTATGATAACTTATTGTTTGCCACATGTTACTTTCATCAATCAATTCCTGAATCATGTGGCATTTAACAAATACAGAATATCAATGCATTGATCAGATAGATGGGTTGAAATCATCATGATTTTTCTAGTTTTGTCAATAAGTATCAAGTACTAAAGCTGATTAACCCTTAAAATGTCTTCAGTCTTCAACTCCTACATCTGAGCACAAGTAAACACAACTGATTTGATCTCCATGTTACTTTAATCTTAAAAACTTAAAATCTTATTGAAAAGTACCAGGATATAACTTATTATAAACTGGTAATATCAATCTGTGCAAAACCATGTTATTTATAGTATAACACTAAGCAACATGTATCGCATTCAATAACTGTTTTTTTCATAAACAATAAAAGGATGCATCAACCTTGAATAAGTTAGATGAAAGTCATCAGTTAAGGCCAATGATTTTACTGGATCAAACAGATTTCAAAGTTAAGGGTTTAAAAAGAAATTCATCTGTATTAGTTTATACGTTTTTATTTTGAAGATTCATTTCTTTATTCAATCTTATTTTGTTATGTTCAGTCTTATTTTTTATTACAAATGCTAGAAATATACATATTTCTTTATTTCTTCATATTCTGATTTTAATTTCATAACGAAGATCTGTGTGTAAGATTGTAAGCTGATTACAATTGACAGATTGAACAATATACTATTTCTATTTTGTAAGCTTAGTTTGAAAAAATTCATGCAGATTAAAGGAAAAGTACATTATATTCTCAATATGTAAACTAAATATTTGACACTTTGCTTTCTAAAATATGATTTTGTTTTCTTGTAATCAATACAGTAAAAGCGTTCCAGATATTTATGCTTTCATTACCAAGGAAAATAACAGAATCATTAAAAGCATAGATAGATGGTGAAACGGTGGACGTGCATTACGTCCTATTTGGGATCGGCCAGCTAGATATATCTGCATCTTAGAGCTAATGATCACTCCAAGACTCGAATCCACTGCGGTTCACTTCAACTACTAACGCGTTATCCAATCAGCTATTGAGTCTGGATATCCACTAATTTGTGCAACAGGGTGAAGCTTAATCGCATTTGTATTGCTTGTTAAAATTTTCCCACTGATACGAGGGACTAGATTTGATCAGTCTCTGTCATATACTTACATTCTATGCATATTGCTACAAACAACCAACACGAATTAACTGAATAATTGGTAATGTTAAGCAATAATAAATAACGAATAAAGTTTGACGTTTTTTTTGTTACACAACAATAATCAGACATTAAATTTGAAAAACATTCAAGAATAACAATCATGCTACTAAAGTACAAGTTATGTTAGTCTATGAACGTAGAACTACGGTCGGTAAAAACTTTATTAATCATAGGGATATTAATAGAAAATTATATCTAGCCATCGGCCATAACAGTTCAATGACAACAACCTTTCGGATGACAAGAGATGACAAAAAATCATGAGATCTTTGTGTATTAACGATCTTACAGTTAATTATAGTAAGAAATGAGATCGATAAACCTTCCTTGGCATATTTTCACCATGAGCGGACTGCGTAGATATTTTTAGACAAAGTTTTGATAACAGCCACTGGTTGATGAAGTGAAGACGTGGGTTTTATACCATTTGTGATTTTTCATTGTTCTCACCAAGACTTGGACACACTATATATATTTCAGCTAGAAAATTTCAACGCATCATCGCTTATAACTAACTCCAAGTGTATTTATCTATCGATCAATACGTCGAACTGTGTAATTCGCTCACAATAAATTTTTTATTCTGTTTTTCCTGTTTTTCTCAATGATAACACTGATCAATCTCAACTGTTCAAAATATAATCCCAACCATTTTCTATTGTGCCATCAATGAATGAAAACAAAAAAAAACAGATTCCGTAAAGGATTTTATACAGCATTTTCATGTTTCCCATATTGTCGTGAATACATGAAAAATGACAGAAAAATGAAATCGAATGCAACATCAATTCATACATTACAACTTTGAATTGAAATATATATATATATATATTCTTCTTCATAGAGTTATGCAGTACAGTACTTCATCTCAGCAAAATAATTATGCATGACGATGACCTAATAATCGACCATATTGGATTCTGTTTTAAGATGGCTCAAAATTCATGCAAAATTATGATGAGATTAAAAACATAGTGAGCGGACTAATTCTGTTGTGAATTATAATTAAAAAAAATTGATACTGAAAGACAAGTTAGTTAATCACTGACTCTGCATAAACACTTGGATGAAATGAAGCATCATCATATTGTATAGTTCCAATAATTGTTTATTAGAAAATCCGTTTTTTTTTTCACTTGTATTTCTAACTATGATCATTAAATATACTACAGAATTGATTTAAAAACAGCCTTTTTTTTCAAATTTCATATTTTTATTTTTACAAAAAGAAGATTAGGATGAATTTTCAGATAACTAATAATGTTTAAGGCACGAATTTAATAATATTCAAATATAGATAGATATTGTAGATTTTGTAATAAACTAAAGGTTTTTAAATATTAACTAATTCCTGATAAATTTTTCTTAGAGATATTACTACTCTTCAGCGTCTAAAAATAATTCACAGCTATAAAGTTCAGTTGTAAGGCATCATTGAAAATAATGTGATCATAGTTGATTTAATTACCTTTTTTGTACGTCTATAGAATTGAAATAATGTTAGTAATGTATGCAGAAAAGATGAAATCTCGATGTTTTTTTCTTATTCCTTAATATACATCAAACAAATCAAGTCGACGATTTGTACAGTTAGTTCATTTATGGAGATTAGAATTATGAAGATTAGTGTTTGATGCACATTGAAATGCTCAATCACTCATTATTGTTAGTGATTTAACTGATATCAGTTGTGCAGAACATTGAAATGAATGTTAATCATGTGAAGTTTTAATATTTTTACTTCATCACTCACTAATAGTTATATAACTACTGAGAACATGCTTAAACTGAATTATCACTATTTTATCCAGCAGCTAAATATGAAAACGCAATGAAAAAAGGAAATGGGACAACTTTATTTCATTAAGATTTTGTCATATGCTTGAAACGCCATTCAACACATTCGATACATTACAAGAAAGAAATTCATTATTTTCATTATTTTCTCAATCATGAGAAAGTAATTAGTGTTAGAGATATTTAAACAAGAAGAAGGAGAAGAAGAAAAAAAATGGGCTTTGCATTGTCTCAAACAACTAATTACGAAAATAATCACTGATATGTATGTAACAAATAAATAAATAAGAGTGTATTCAATAGAAAATATTCTTTCTTAATTGTACAACCATGAAATAATGGAGAAATTAGTCTTCACAGTGTCATGTGAGCTAATGTGACTAGCGAAAAATCATCAAAATATTTCAAATCACCTACGGCACAAAACTTCTGTTAGTTTACCTTAATGATACTTTTATTTTAACTGATGTCAGTCAACAGGAAGTAGAAATCATTAGAACTGAAGTGATATAAATATATATATAACTTGAACTAAAATTGAAGTGTATTATGCATACTTTTTGTTAGGTTCGTCCCTAAGTATGATTGAAACTATTACGGGTTCATACTCAGTCGATAAACGCGAATGGGACAATGAACCAGAGTCCAGGTAGTCTACCCTGATGTGAAACGGCTAAAGAGAAGCCTTGATGTAGCGTAGAAAGTATATTCTGCAAACACCCAACAAGCACAATGCAATCAAGCACACAAATCTTGTTTATTTATACATCATAGAAACGTCCTTGAGACAGTCACAATAATCGCACACTAAAATACACAGCAGCCAATCACAACCAAGGAGTTTCCTGGTGGGAAATGAAATCTCAAGGTCAACTGATCACCCATGCTGACAAACGTGAAATCCAAAATAAGGCATTTATCAAACGAGTTCTGGGGATCAAACGTCCGCAACAATTTTACACTATTAAAGTTTGATATAGCCTTAGTTTAATTTAACCCATTTTCACATTAGTAAAGAAATTAAAACTTATAAGATTGGACATTGATTATAAGCAACAAAATCAATTCCATTTTATCCAGTTATAAAAATTAATGTCGTTTCGCCTGTTTATCATTATGAAATACGTGGAATTGAAGAAGTTGTAAAATTATCAAAAAATTACATAACACTTGAACTGTAAACAGTTTGAAATTCATGCAAAGTATCAGAGAGCTATTTCCAATGAATTATTAATCACTTTACAATTATCAGAATGTAGCCATTTAAATAATTCATTTGTATATACACACAGAAAAGTTTTTTTTTAAATTCTGACTAATAGTTAAATCAACACTTTCAGCTTCTTAGACGCAAATAAACTAAGCTACTAACAGTCTAACACTGTTATGATGAATTAATAAATAGGCAGAAAATTCTTTTCAACTAACATATAATCGTGAATATGCCGACTGCAAATAGCGGCACTTTTGATATATTAGTCAACAACAACAACAAATAGAATCACTGAATATTATTTGAATAATGTGGAATTCGTTATTATATCATTAGATACAAGATGTTTTCTAGTTAAAATATGTAAAGAAAACCGGAGAAAATGGCTATGCATCATTGACAAATATATATTTTCTCCTTTGTTACAAACATTAAATCAAATTATAATTAGCTAAGTGGTATTTGCGTATAATTATTTATCAATAATCCTAGTTATAAGACAACGAATCCCAATTCTTTGACATAATAAGCCTTACCAGTTTTCACAGCATTTAACGCAGTTTACGTTTATCCTACAACTGTAAACTTATCAACAGGTGAAACTTGTATGTAATATTTGTGAAATGATTGAATATTTGAAGTAATAAAATATTCATTGATTTATAAATGAAAACAATTTGTAGTGATTCTCACGGTTGCTTTTCCCATAAATTGCCTATTCCGGTAGTTATCATAATAAAACTTTTGAAAAAAAAATGAAAGAAACCAAAAGAAAGTAACTGATAAACAGTATATTTCATACATCGTATGCTACTTTCATTTTACAAAATAAATCACTCTATTAACGAGACAAAATAATTGCAAAATTATTTTACCTTAAATCCTTGAGTAATCTGACTATTTTTTACTTATAAGGTATACCACTTGATTGTATGAATTATTTTTTCCTAAAATAAGTTACTTTTGTTTTTTATAACTTCGCAAGTTCAACTATACCCTGTTGATCGATCACAGTACTTGATCATTATATAAATGATTATGTTTTTTTCACTGTATACTTTATCTAACCTCAGAAAATGGACTTAAAGTAAAACTACTTGACCTCATCACCTACTTTTAATTAGTGAGATTATGGTTTTAAATAGTTTGACTTAATTCTGTAACATAGGACGTGAGTTGTTTCTGAAAAATTAAGTGACAAGCTGATACCAACAGTAAAAGCTAATATTCCTACCGTAATTCTTAAAGGAAAAAGCAAAATTCTCCGATGCAACACAACATGCACCAACCAAATCACTCTTGATGGAGATGCCTTGGAGGACGTTAACACCTTTACATATCTGGACAGCATCATCGACAACCAAAGTGGATCCGATGCAGACGTGAGGGCACGGATTGGCAAAGCAAGGGCTGCATTTCTACAATTGAAAAATATCTGGAACTCCAAACTACTTTCAACCAAAACCAAATTCAGGATTTTCAATACAAATGTCAAGACAGTTCTACTGTATGGAGCGGAAACTTGGAGAACTACAAAAGCCGTCATCCAGAAGATACAAGTGTTGATTAACAGTTGTTTACGCAAAATACTTCGGATTCGTTGGCCAGACACCATCAATAACAACGTACTGTGGGAGAGAACAAATCAGATTCCAGTGGAGGAGGAAATCAGGAAGAAGCGATGGAAGTGAATAGGACAAACACTGTGAAAAGCACCTTACTGCGTCACAAGACAAGCCCTCACATGGAACCCTCAAGGTCAAAGGCCAAGGAACACATAACATCGAGAAATAGAGAAATATATGAGAGGAATGAACAAACATTAGACAGAACTGGAAAAGGAAGCCCATGAGAGAGTTGGTTAGAGAAAACTGGTCGGCGGCCTATGCTCCATTGGGGGTAACAGGCGTAAGTAAGTAATTTACTAGAAACTTACGGATCACAGTATCAATATGTATTTTTTTCTGTCCAACAAATAAGATCCACTGAATATTTCTGTGGTTATTTTCTGTGTAGATCATGATAAATTTCTATTTTCTTTATAGGAATGTTCAATAAAACATTGACTTATATGAATACTTTGAATGTACAAACAAGATTTTTCAATGGAGAAAGAATAATCTAGTTCATACTTAACATTTTCTTTCTCTGTCAATCAGCATTCAAATAAAATCATCATGCAATTAAAAGGTATTTGCAACTTAATGTATCAGTCAAATAATACTTATATTATCAATCAAATGGTTTTTGACTAATTTTATCACATACACATTTGTTGTATGAAATTTTTCAATTTTCGAATGAATCGTTGTTATTAAATAAAACAAACAATAAGGGCAGATAATTTCTTAAGGGGTTAATAAATTTGATAAATATATTTATTTTGATGAAAAGAACTACAGATAGTTTGGTAAGGCAGCTTATTTGTTTACAATAATGATATTTACCTAAAGCTATGCAATCGTATTTATAATTATTTTGTGTATATATATATATATATAAATCTGGGATAAAAATTTTAGGAGAAAAACAGCTCATCATTCAGTAAGTGATGGAAAGTGAATCACGTACCTTATAAAAACAGCTGTGAAATGAACAATGGAGAAAAAGAGATTACCAACTAACAAGCAATCGCAACGTAGGAAATTTATAAGAAACTGTACATATGGAATAATAATAGTACTAATACACATTAAATTGCTTTGAAATATCAAATGCAGATACAGATAGCAATATTTTCAAATGAAAATATATCATCATATTGTGAATATGAAAATTCATTTAATGATTACGTGACCAAACGTTTGAAATTTATTATTATTATTATCATTATTATTTGAGTAAAGACAATGTTATAAAATAACTCAATTAGAATGGTTTATTGTATTTTACGACATACAACGGGTTTCTGAAGATAACGTGTCTTAGAAATCAAATAACCAAGCTATTACTTAACATAACACTGATAAATATGCCCGTAAAATCAAAACAGACTTTACAGTCTTCCTAGAAGTAAACTGAAAATATATTACACAAATTTTCACTAGAATTTTTATGTGTTAATACGCTTATTTAATGCTCCCATAAATAATCGAGATACGATAACGAAAATGGTCTTGCTGACTTGTTTTCACTGTCCAATTAATATATAAT